CCCAACCAGGTGTTGTAATAACCAGGTGTAGGTAATCATGGTGGGAAATTCTTCAGATTCCAACTCTCTCCACAAATTTGATTTTTCCACAGGATATGACATTGCCATTTTAAAACTGCCAAAGTAAATTTGAAGACGCAGGATCAAAACCACATTCCAGTGGGTCCTGAATATGCCAAGCACTCTTGTGCCCATCTTACGTCTCAGCTCCCCCCAACCCGGCCAATCCTATCTTGTCTTGGCCTCTCCGTGAACAATACTGCAGAATCCAAACCAGAGATGACCTGGGCTTAGGAAACAAGGGAGCCTTGAGTACTGATAAACACCACTAACCAGGACCCCTGAGTACTGAATAGCCTCCTCTGAGTGTGACACAAACTTCATCCTGTTGTTGACACTGCCAGATGACACTCCATCTGGCCCATCCCTGAAGGTTGGAACTGGCATGGGTGCTCAGTGGAGACTTCGGAATGTCAGGGTGGTAACAGCAGGTGCTTATGCATTGGATGTTGTATCAGTTGTGTCAGTGTGCTGGTGTGCTTCAGCATTCAGCACTAGACAAGAACACCAGAGAACATGGAGAAATGGAACTGTGAGGAGTGAAGAGGGGGGTAGAGAAGATTAGAGCAAGTGGTCCCCGGAAGGGAGGAGAACATTCAGGATTTGCAGAAGAAAATCTGCCCTTTCATGGGAATCAGCTTCAGTAACCTTTTATTCGAAGCCATCTTAAAGATAGTGCCTCAAATTACATGCATGTGTATTCTTTTTTTTTAAAACATTTATTTGTGTGTATATATGTGCTCACCCATGTCACAGTACATGTGTGGAGGTCAAAGGACAACTTTCAGGAGTTGGTTCTTTTACCATGTAGTTTCTGGGTATCAAATTCAGGTTGTCAGGCTGGGCAGCAAGTACCTTTAGCCACTGAGCCATCTAGCCAGCCTGTGTCTTTCTATATTTTAAGGAAAAGAACTTTCTACTTTGACTTGCATTTTAAAATCAGGCCAATAAATGGCCTTTGTCCACAGAGCCTTAGCAAATCCTGAAGAAGCACAAGCATTGGGTGTTTATGAACAACAGGTATTGAATATAGTGATCACCAGTATCTTCAATATTAAATATTATGTTGGTGGAAAGTCTATTCTGGGTTGCTTACAATCTCCTTGGAAGTGATACTTTCACAAATTATTGGAGGATGATCTTTAAGCAGGAAATAAGGGGTTCCAAATGGCTGAAATTTTAATGACTTCTTAGTGCCAAAAAGTTCACATTATTGCTAAATTTATAAGATTTGTACCCAAGTGTTTTTAGTCTACAATTAGCATATGGGAGAATTTCTTAAATTCTTTTACCACTTGATGGTGTTTTGTATATCACATTGTGTTTTTAATCTTTCACAGTCAAGCTTGGTTGTTCATTTTATTTCCTGTACCATAAAGATTGCTTTTGTGTTCTTACAGGAGTTTTTCCTTATCTTTGTTAGCATACTGAAAGTTCCTGTTTTTACCTGACTTTGAAATGAAGTCAGGAAAGTAGTCATTTATTTAACTAGCTCTTTATAGTCATTCCATGTGAACTAACAAACTTTGACAATCAGAACAACTTTTTCCAGATAAAAAACTAGCATTGTATCCAATGAGTTGCCATGTTGGGATGTACAAGTGTCATTTTACTAGTTTTTAGCCTTGTTACTTTTTGGAGGTGACTTAATCTCATTAATGCAAGGAAACCAAAGGCAGCAAAGATTATAAGGAAATAGAGCTAGTGGTGCAGAGAATTCAAAGCTTTATATAGTAAAAACAATGTTTTTTCAAAGAGCTTACAAACAAACATCTTTGTTTATTTAGTGATAGGACAACTACAGATGTCTACCTGGAAGGTGTGATAGGTCTGATAAGATGGTACAAATCTGTCCAAAACCTGGAGGAATCAAGGAAGGGCATTAATGGAGGCAATTACTCTCAGTTAACTCTTAAAAAAACATAACAGACTTGACTTCATGGTAGCCAGAGAAGAGTGGAGTTGGAACGTAGGTGGGCTGTAGAGTGTAAAGAAATCATCTAGACCAGTTACATGTCAGCCTTTTTAAAAAAAAAAAAAAATTATCATTTTTATTTTATGTCTATGAGTGTATTGCCTGCATGTATGTGAGTACATCTGTGTCATGCAATGCTGCAGAGGTCAGAAGAGGGCTTTGGATTCCCCTGGAACTGGAATTAACGGTGGTTTGTAGCTGCCATGTGGGTGCTGGGAGTCGAACTTGGGTCCTCTACAAGAGCAGTCAGTGCTCTTTACCACTGAGCCATCTCTCCAGCCCCAGCCATGTTTTATTTTTAACATCAAATTGTGATTTCCTTTACTATTTCTGTAAGTGGTTTCTGCTGCTTTTCCTTTCAGACCAAGGGTAGTCACTATAGGTTGTAGGCTTCATATCCTGACCATAACACTTATGCTAGCAGCCTTGATCAGGTCGTTTATATTCTCCACCTCCCAGTTTCCTCACCCCTAAAATGGTGGCACTAGTTTGTACTACATCTGAATATCATCAGGATTAAATGAGATTATCATTGTGCAGTGTTAGACAAGGTATCTAGTGTGGTAAACACCCTCTTCATGCCTCCCTAGATAATGTAGGGTTTGTGCAGCTGGCTCAGTTGCCCAGTTTCTGTGAAGCCATGAGAGGCAGGATAGCACAGTGCTCTACAGAGATTGCTTCATCCTCCGGCAGCAGCAGCCTGGCAGTGTTCCCACTCCCTCCATGGTGGGCATGCTGGGAGTAGACATGAGACACAGAAACCTAAGCTTTACCAAGCATTCCAGTTTCTAGGCACTTTAAATACCGGTTCTCCAACACACTGTTGCTTGAGTGAGATTTCTGGAGTTAGTCCACTAGGCCATGTAGGTATGAATGTTGACTTTGCCAGTGACAGTAGGCTATCCTGCAGTTTACTTCATGTGTTATGTCTTGGTTTTTTCGTTAGTAAAAATAGCATGAGCAGCCTAACCTCATTCACTGGAGTTTTTGAGAGGATAAGAGTTACTGCACAGAACTAAAACTCATCTTGGCCAGAGAGCCTTCAGTGTTGGACTGGTTATATTCTAGTTTTTATGGTGATGATTGTGTAAAGTCCCCATGGCTGCTTTCCCAGACACCTGTTATATACCAGTGGTTTACAACAGTCCTCAAATTCTGGAGTTCAGAAGTCCAAAATGGGCCTTTAAGCTAAAACCAGGATATAGCAGGGCTATGTTCCTTTGTGGAGGCTCTAGCAGGACAGCTTCTGCTCCTTTTCTAGCTTCTAGAGGCTGCCATGTGTCTTGGCTTTGGCCCCTCTCGTCTTGAAAGGAGCTTTAGCCAGTCAAATCTTTCCTTAATCATTCACTCTGACATTGATTCTTTTGCCTCTTTCATTTAATAGACCCCTAGGATTCCACTGGATACGCCCAGATAACTTGGAGCACTTTATCTGCTTTACAGCCAACAAGCCAGCTAGTCTATTAGTTTAATTTCACCTGCAGCTTTACTCCCCCTTCACCATGTGAATTGAAGTGTAAGAAGTTCTAGGGATTAGGATATAGATGGATGCAGTACTCCAGTCTGCCTGCTGTCACCACCAGCTTCACCACCAGCTTCAGATGGAGATTTAGTGCTGATTAGTGCTGTTCTCCTGTAAACTTACTTTTTCACCTTTTTCCTTTCTCCTATATTTGCTATTTTTTCTACCTCTTTCTTACTCTCTGACCTTCCTCAGTAGGGGTACTTTGAGAAAATAGACATAGCAGATGAAAATTTGCTTTTCTGTCCACACATACACACTTACCTAAGCATATCCATCTTTTTCCTCTGTCCCTATTAAAATGAAAGGAATGTCTGTCTGTATTCTTAAAATCCCAGCATTTCTCAGCACCCCACTCTACATCTTGAGATTCCATATAAAGGATATCTAGATAGTTTCTCCCCATCCTAAAAAGAAAACCCAGTGCTCTATCTACCTGTTCCTTCTCTTTTTCCCTACCTCCTATTTACTGTCCACCCCCATCACAGATCCATGTTTACCACCTAGTTCCTCAGGTAGAAACCTGGTAACCCATCTTGATGCCACCTCTACTCTTGGCCTGCAATCTATAGTATCACTGCATCTCCCTCCCTGGCTTGCTCTCAGCTGCTGCCATCCCAGTTGAAGTCACCAGCATGTCTTGTCTGGACCACTGCTCTGGCCCATCTCCCCTCTCTCTGTGTGTCGCCTTCTGTTCTGTTCTGCCACTCCAGGAATCTGGTAGAAATGGAAGTGGACTCATGTCACATTCTATTTCCCCTCAAACCCTGTGAATAAAACCTTAAAAAAATTTTAAAAAGCAACCTGTAACCTGTGTGGCTGCTCTCCCACATCAGGCTCCAGAGTCTCACTCCCTGCTCTTGGCTTCTGAGCTTCCCTAGTACCTTGAATCCACCCACAGCTCCTGTTCCATTTTCCCCATTCTGAACCCAATGAGCTCTTGCTTGTCTGTCTGACTCATCCCAAGCTGAGAAGTGCAGACCTTTGACAGGACCAACTCATTTTCTTCAGAGGTTTGTTGTTGCTTTGGGGTTTTGTCGTTTGTTTTGTTTTGTTTTTGTGTGTGTTTAAGGTTAGCCTGTCAAATTATCACTATAGTAATTAGTGTCTCTGGCAGGAGAACCTCTTTCCAAACTACAAAAATGGGCTAATTCCATGTTGCATATCTTGCAGACATAGCGGTGAGTATAATGGAGGAAAATGTAGGAATAACCTTTTTTCATTTCTGGATTCTGAGAGTTTACAGGTTTCAGATAGATCCTGGCAATCTCAGCTGTCTATGTTGTTCAGAGTTATGATTTTCCAGGTTCTTGCCATTCCTTTTTATCAGCTGGTGATGATCTAGCAGGTCATAGACGGTAAAGTGGTGGCATGATGACTTTGTAGTGACTCTTTGATTTCTTGAGACTTTACTAACATGCCTTTATGTATCTTATGTTGCAGACTATTCAGACTATGAAGACAGTTCCCTAGACTTTTTGGAAAGGTGCTCTTCTCCACTAACTCGATCTTCTGGGAGCTCTCTGGCTCCACGAAGCACGTTTACAGAGAAAACTACAACTTATCAGTACCCAAGGGCAATTCTGTCTGTTGATCTCAGTGGAGAAAGTAGGTGTGACTGTATAATGACTAAAACAAGACCTAAGATTCCTCAGTGTGGAGTTGAGAATACATGTACTTTTTGGAGTACCATTCAAGCCGGCCACACAATTGGCAAAGTGACTAGATAACTAATAGGAAAATCCCAGCACTAGATATTTGAAATTTGGGGGCTGGAGATACAGCTCAGCAGTTAAGAGCCCTGGCTGCTCTTGCAGAGGACCTGGGATCAGTTTCCAGCACCCACGTGGTGTCTCACAATCATCTACAACTCTGGTTCAGGGGATACTATAATCTTCTGGCCTCCACAGGCACTTCATGCACACAGTGCACTTACATACATGCAGGCAAAACAGTCATACACATAAAATAAAAATTTTAATAATTATTTAAAGAAAGAAATTTGAAATGTTAAGTTTTTTGTAGTATTGGGAATTAAACCAGAGTCTCATGTATGGTAGGCATGTGTTCTACCACTGGACTGTATCCTTAGATATAAAAATACTTGGAAATTAAATATCTGGTCTGAGTAAGTCTGAAAAGAAATTGTTTTTTTTCTATTGTCTCCCTCTACCTCTTCTACTCACTTCCTGGATGGCTCCATATATGTCCTAACCACTAGGGAGGTAGATACAGCTCCTTTTATTAAAATTGTTCAGTGGATTCTGACATTGAAAGAGAGATAAGTGATGAGCAAGTAAAGAAATAATTCAGAACCTGACTCAAGGCTGAGAGGGTGAGAGAAGTTGGAAGTACCCCTGCTGAATTGCCCAGCCTGCAGCAGTGGTTAAGTCTTCTGCTGTGTGTCTTGTGGTAACTTAGTTTCTCCAGCATTTCTCTACTCTTACTACTCCACCGAAAACCCTTTGCTGTCAAATCATCATTTTCTCTGATAGTGTCATAAATAAACATTACTTTTTTTTCTTCAATAGCCTGAGGAAAATGATGGGCTTTGGCACTGACACTGTTAGAAACACAAACCTAAAACCTGGCATTTAAATCAAGTTGTATATCATAGTCACCCATACAATCTAAGTGTAGTATCTTAAAATGTGCTTACTATTTTAAAATTTTCATCAAACATACTATAAATTTAAAAATTCCTCAGAAGTTGACCCTAGCTTAAGAATAAGAATACAGGGGCTGGAGAGCTGGTTCAGTTCCCAGCACCTACAACCATCCTTAACTCCAGTTCCTGGGGATCTGATGCCCTCTTCTGGCCTTTGTAGGCATTGCATGACACAGTTGCACTTATATATGTGCAGGCAAAATGCAAGCTCGAAGGACTTCGTATACTGTTTTGCCATGCATGGTGGCGCACGCCTTTAGTCCCAGCACTTGGAAGGCAGAGGCAGGTGGATCTTTGTGAGTTCGAAGCCAGCCTGGTCTACATAGTGAGTTCCAGGGCAGCTGGGGTTACAGGGAGACCTTGTCTCAAAAAGGCGAAAAAAAAAAAAAAAAATGCTGACAATGCCAGGCATGGTGCCACAGGCCTTTCTTTAATCATAGCACTTGGGAGGCAGGGGCAAGAGCAGATCTCTGTGGAATCGAGGCCAGCCTGGTCTACGTAGTGAGTTCTAGGCCAACTGGGGCTACAGGAAGACCCTGTTTTAAAAGAAAACAAAACAACAAAAACGTTGATGAAATAATTTAAAAATATGTTTGAAAAGCAGGTAGTAAATTTGTGCATATATTCATGTGTGATTCATGTGTGTGTATGTGCATATATATATGCACACATACTTATTGTTACTACTGTTTTTATTGTATTTTGGTTTGTTTGGGAAGGAGCAAGGTCTTACCCTATATCCCAGGATGACCTTAAACTCTTCCTCTTCCTGTCTTAACCCCCTGAGTGCCTGGGGTGTGAGGTACCAAGCCCAGCAAGGCAGTTAATGCTTAGTTGATGTTATCACCACCTGACTGCATTATCCAACCATATTGCATCTCCTGTGCTTAGTGTATATAGTGCAGTGGCACTTTATGCCACTGACCCTTATGTGCTTTTTCACCAGAGCTCTTTAAAGTTGTTATCTCTGTAGTACAAATAATAAAACCCACTTTTTCACAATCAAAAAAGATCTAGTATATGTGAACATCCAATCAAAAGGTTGGCAAAGTGACTCAAAGCTAGCACTTTGTATCAGCCTCTAGTTGTAACTTCTATAAGCAGGATGACTAGGAGCTACTCACTGTTACTTGACTGAGTGTGCATCAGAAGAGAAAACAGCATACTATCCAAGCTTCAAAGTTGATCTGTTTCTTTGACCAGAGGCAGGTAGTCCATTCACATGTGTTTACTCCATTGAAAAGCTTATACTCACTTTCCATAGCTCCTTCCTTTCTGGTAAGTGTAAGTGACCTAAAAATAGAAAATGGTGTTAAGTATACTTCTCATGTGTCTTGCAGACTTGTCAGATATGGAATTCCTAGATGATTCTTCAACGGAGAGCTTGCTTCTGAGTGGGGATGAGTACAACCAAGACTTTGATTCAACCAATTTTGAGGAATCTCAGGATGAAGATGATGCTCTCAATGAGATTGTGCGGTGTATTTGTGAAATGGATGAGGAGAATGGCTTCATGATCCAGGTATTTGGCTAGTGTCTGCCCTGCAGTTCTGGGTCACTGCTGGTACTCAGCAGGTGTGCATCTTAGTGCTTTCCCTTTGTATTGGCCATGCCACAAAGTATGGTTTCTGCTAGATTGCCATGCTTGCAATTCCAGCAGTAATAGGAAATCTCTTCATTAAGTGAAGACACTTGGCTTGTTTTAGTATTACTCTTCCCTTAAAAGGTATTTATTAACTAATGGATTGAGGCCTTCATGCTGAAACCTTTAAGGTGGGTCTGCCTCCACATGGAAGAGTTGACCACAGCTACTGGTCCTTAATAGCAAGCAGTGTATAGTCACCTTCCAGTGAGTAGAAATTGAAACCTGAATGTCCAGTACTCTCAAAGAAGAGAGAACATTGTTGCAAGAGTTAAGGGTATCTCGAAAAAAAAAAGGGAAAGCATAACCTATATTCTATGATAGCATGTAGGAAAATTTGGAGACAGTGATTACAAAACTGAAAGTATAAGCTCCTTTCTTCTTTGTCAGTGGTGTTCTCAAATTAAGTTGCTGCAAATTTAGTTTCACCACATGAGTATTACCTTAGGAGGCCATTACTGCAGACATTGTTACAAACTGACTTCAAAAAAATGTTGAACTTTAATAAGGTGTTTTGAGGATGTGATTGCCTAGGAATTTACATGGGGGAATTCTGTCATTTTTTTAATCTAAGTAATTTATAAAAACACTTTAATAGATGTTAAACATGTTAATAGATATAATCTAATGAAGTTCATAAAATAGCTATCTCATTGATAAAATTCATCTTAAATCATAATGTGTTGTGTCAAATAGGAGTTGAACTGGTAGTGCAAGAAAGCTAGCCAGCTAGTTAAGGCAGGCAATGCACCTGCGCTTGCCTTGTCTAGCCTTGTTTGACGGTGATCTTTTCAATCAGCACTGTAGGTCTTTTCTGTTATTTATAGTGTGAAGAATGTCTGTGCTGGCAGCACAGTGTATGCATGGGCCTGCTGGAGGAGAGCATTCCAGAACAGTACATTTGCTACATCTGCCGGGACCCTCCAGGTGAGGCCCTTCGCCCCCTGTGTGTTGCGTGACACTGACTCCAGAGTATGAGCACTGTGTGCAATACCTGTACCTCTTGCCTAACTAGAGTGTTTCAGGAGTCTGGGTTAGCATGAGAAGAAGATATTTTTTAAAATTCACTATTACAGGGGTTGAAGATTTAGCTCAGTGGTAGAGCACTTGCCCAGCAAGCACAAGGCCCTGGGTTCAGTTCTCAGCTCTGGGGGGTGGGGGTGTAATTCACTTAATTCACTGTTATAGTATGGCTCTCATAGAATTCCCTACACAAACACATTTCCATAAATGTATCAACAAAGTGATCACCTCTCCAAAAGGGAGATTATGGCTTTTTCCCTTAGCAGCCTAGCTTTTGCCTACTCCCATGTGTTTATTTCTAGCTAGGTTTATTTATGCTGATTTGAGTGGACCACCATTCTCTACATGCAGTCCTTCTGACAGGTTTTGAAGAAATTTCTGGTTGCCACATATCCAGTTCATTGTAGAACACATGGGGTCTCAGATATTTGTATTCCTTTATTTCACTGATGAGGGCAGCTAGAGGACTGAAAGTCATGCACTTGTGTCACAAGAAGTACTAGTAAGTGTGGCAGGCTGAGATGGAAATGGAACTTTTTGATTCCCAATCTGTTATGCTTTCTTCTTCTATGCTGAGAGTCTTCAAGTAGTATGTTCTGAGTGTAGATAGTTCTAGCCTCTAAGACAGAAAATAACCATTTATTCCTAAGTAATTAGAAAATGAACTGTTCCCATTCATACCTACCAAAAAGATAAAGGAAAAAGTTACAGTAAGAAGTTAAAGAGTGGTAAGGAGATGGCTAGATCAGTAAAGTGCTTGGAGGAACTCAAGTTCCGATCTCCAGCACCAATGTAAAAAGTCAAGCATGCCTGTAATCCCAGCATTGTAGAGCTAGAGACAGGAAGTGTCCTTGGGCCTTGCTATCCATCTAGTCTAGCGAATCAGTGAGCTCTAGATTCCCTGAGAGAACCTGTCTCAAAAAATAAAGTGTAATATGATAAAGATGACACCTGACATCAACCTGTGGTCTCAACATATGTGCGCACACACACATGAGCACACACACAAAAGCAAGGGAATTATTCAGATCTATATGAATATAAACAGTTGCTTATTCTTTCAGCTTATATTGTTGACATTTGTTTTTCTTTGTATATTCATTCACTAACAAATTTAGACTTTCACCATTCAGTAGCATTTATTAGATGCCTTCTATTTGCAATTACTGCATGTACTTCATAGTACAGAAGGGGATACAGACATAGGAGCATCTAATTGTAAGAGGCTCAAATTGTTCTTCGAATAGAAGCTATCAGGTACCATAGGCATATGTGGGAACACAGACATGGGGGCAGGTTCTCTGCTTGTTCAACTGTAGCTCTGCTTCATCCTGGTAAGAGCAAGTTAGTGAAGAAAGAACTCCTGTGGTTTCTCTCCAGCTGTCTTAGAGGAAACGTGGCTGATGGATTAAATTTAGATAGTCCATCAGGGTTCTTTTTGCTGTCACTTGGCCCTGAGCACATCCTCAGTGGCGTTGCTTCACCTTACGTGCAGGCACACCAGAGGTACTGAGAGGTGCCTCTCATCAGCCCCGTCTTCAGCATGCTGTCTTACTCTGCTGTGAGTCTTCTTTCAGTTCTTGAGCTTGTCTTATTCCCTGAGGATCTGAATACATAGACTCCTTTATGACTTTAGTGTCAACTTCATCTACAGGTCAGAGATGGAGTGCAAAATATCGTTATGATAAGGAATGGTTGAATAACGGGAGAATGTGCGGGTTATCTTTTTTAAAAGAAAATTATTCTCATCTCAATGCCAAAAAGATAGTTTCCACACATCACCTGCTTGCTGATGTCTATGGTGTGACAGAAGTACTGCACGGGTTACAGCTGAAGATTGGAATACTAAAGTAAGTGAATGGGGCCATGCATTCTTGCGAATTTGTATAAAAACCTAAAGACAAAAGGCAAAACATCAATTAAACATAAAGGAGTAAACAGACCAACAATAAACAGATGCAGGTGGTCTTTTGAAGGTTTAGAGTACTACCCCAGAAGACAGAATATTTAACTGAAGTCTAATTTTTAAAAGTAAGAGAACTTTTTGGATGACAAAATCTATCCACCTGTCCCCTTGAAATTAGGTGAGCGTAGTTAATGGTTGATAGCATCTGCTGTTTTAACCAATTTTAGATCAAATGTTTTATGTATTTACCATGTGCACAAAATTAACTGCAGCTGGGCTGTGATGAGCCCGTATTTTGTGTCTTTTGGGAATGGCATGGAGATGAATAAGAGTCTAGAAGGGGTATGTTCTTTAATCAGCTGGAGATTGATTCAGAAGAGGTAAGGAGCCAGCAGACTCTGGGACCCACCTTACTGCTGTGCACCAGTTATGTTTTAGTCCCAGGCATCCCCCACCCCCATAACATACTAAATAGTCTTTGAGGTCCTGCGCTCATTTCCTTCTAATGCCAATCCAGCATTCTTTAAAAGAATAAGCAAATAATCCTTTTATTATGTATAAAAACAGGATGCTGTACTCATTCTTCACAAGATTTTCTCCATTTGGACTCACTTGTCTTGACTAGAAATTTCCCCACCCACCCCTGTATGCATCCCTAGGTCCCCTCATTCTTCCCTGTGATACCTGATCATCACTCTGCCCTTAACTCACTCTTCACCCAGTGCTACTCTCAGCCAGGCTGCTTTATTTCACAGGAGCAGTTTCTGTACCATTCAGTTCTTTGTGGTTCCCTTCTTGTCTTCTTTTAGTTCATTCTTGAACACTATTGCCAGCATTACCTTAGTGAAGATGCACATCAGCTTGCTTCTTTTCATACCCTGTCATCTTGTTGCCCACTGACCCCAAGCCCTTGCATGATACATACTCTGTTGCTGCTCCTTCCGTCTCCTGCACATTATACCCAACTGTTCTAGCTATGCCAAAGCATATGCCCTGAATGAAGTATGCTTTCTTGGAGAGCCAGGCCTTTAACTCACACTCCCATCCTCCCATCCTCCTACAGCTGTTTTCACTAGCAGTGCCTTTCCATCAGCTGCCTGGCTAGATTTGACCCCACTCTTTTTTTTTTTTCAGTATTTTATTTATTATTTTTATCTTATGTGTATGGGTATATTGCCTGCATGATATAAGTGCACCTGTATCATGCAATGCCCTGGGAGGTCAGAGGTGGCTTTGGATCCCTTGGAACTGGCATTATGGATGGTTATTTGCCACCATGTGGGTGCTGGGAATCAAACCCCTGTCCTCTACAAGAGCAGTCAGTACTCTTAACCACTGAGCCATCCCCCCAGCGCCTACTCTTCTTGATGTACTGCATGCATAGTGGAATTGTGGTTCCTTCTTGGTAGGACTTGAGTTTTTGTCTTTTTGGCCCTAGTGTAAAATGTAGGGGTAGTTACTCACTTTTAAGAGAAATTTGATTAGTTATACGTCACCAACCAAATAGGGATTTATTTCTGTATTTAAAGGTCACATAAGGAGCTGGAGACATGTCCCAGTAGTCAAGAGCACTTGTGCTTTTTTAAGAAAGTCTTCTTACATGCCACAAATTGGTAATTTCATGTGATATTTCATTGAATCCTTACAATAATAGATATAAATAAATCTTGCCTCATTTTAAAGATGGATTTTCTTTTTCTTTACTGGAATTGAACCTAAGACTTCGTGCGTTTGAACTGAGCCAGTGTTCTACCACTGAACTACACCCCTGGCCCTCTGTTTATTCTTTCTTTCTGAGACTGAGTCTCACTAAGTTCCCTAAGCTGACTTTGAACTCACTGTGTAGCACAGTCAAGCCTTGAACTTCCTCAGCTTCTCTAGTAGCTCAGATTATAGTTGTGAGCTAAGATGGGTTTTTCAAAGGGCTGTGTCACCTCTCCAAGCTCTTCTCCAATGGACTGTGGAACCATAAGGCCAATTTGCTGTCTACTGTGCCTTCTACTGGTTGAGAATTTTTAAATGAATATTCTGTGGATATTAATCATTAGAAGCCTAAAAGATAAACTTTATGAACTGAGAAATTATCAGTTGGTATTATTAGAAGAAAACTTATTTGATTGAATTATTAATTTACAACTATATTGAGCCTTTGGGTAGAGTCATACCTCTTAAATATCTTTTCACTTTAGCTGAGTGGAGCCCTGTTTTGCTTATTGCAGTATTTATAATTCTATAGAGCTAACTACTCACATCCTATTCTTGTTTAATAATGAAAGTTAGTGGGGGTGTAAATAATGTACCTTCTTTGGAGACCAGTTATACAGTAGCTAAAATAAAAGCATATGCTATTCAGTAGTTCTATGTCTAGAAATGTGTCTGACTGCAATATTCTAACTTGTGTGCAACAGTACACATTCACACACATCATCTATTAGTAGAGAATTGGTTGACTAGACTAGACTGGCAATTAGCACCATTCAACCACTAGAGTAAAAGCATAGGAAGTCTGTGTGTACTGATGTGGCAAGATGCCCAAAGCATATTGTATAGGAAAAAGGCAAATTGTATGTGTCCTAATTATATAAAAAGAAAACAATGTACACTCCTTTTTAAAAATTTTATATGCATAGGAAAATTCTGAAAGATTATATATCATTTATGATTGCTACAGTAGAAGAGATTTTTTACTTTTTATTTATTTATGGTTGTAATTTTTGTCATGAATAGTTACTGCTTTTTGATTGACTAAAGGTTTTTAAATATGCTTATAAAAGTATGTGTGCCATACAGTGACATGGAAGAATCTGTGAAGAAATGTGTATGTCAGACACTGACATTAATAATCAACAGAATTAAATACATTATTGATTTTCTGCATATTTCTTTAAAATTGGAGAACTTGAATTTTGTATGAAATACTGAAGGAGTTACTGTAAATAGTGTCTTTGTCTTTGTCTTGGGTCCTGACCGCCTCTTCACACAGTTATGAAATTATTACGGTTTTTAACTTGTTACCAGATTTTTTTTCTGAAGTGCCGTTTCTTCAATTTTGTTTTAAGGGATAAACATCATCCTGACCTTCATCTCTGGGCCTGTTCTGGGAAACGGAAAGACCAAGATCAGATAGTAACTGGAGTGGAGAAAAAAGTAACAGTTCAGAACACAGTTAATGTAGAGGGAAAGAAATACATACAGAACCATAAGGAACCACCCATGAGAATGGAAGGAACTTACATTACAAGTGAGCACAGCTACCAAAAGCCACAACACTTGAGCCAGGACTGCAAATCTCTCGCAGACCCTGGGAGCTCAGATGATGATGATGCTGGCAGTTTTGAAGAGGAACCTGAATTTCACATAGGAGATAAAAGCCATTTCCAGTACTCAGCAAAAGAGTTTGGAGCATCAGAAAAGGTAACTGGTTCATGTAGAACACGAGGAAAAGTTGTTAACAGTGCCCACACCCAGTCCCCACGCGTTGCTAATACTTGGAAGTTTTTAAGTACCTGAGTAAAGACTTTTGTTTCATTTCTCTACCACAAACATTCACTTAAACATTGAACTGTTATAATACAGTAAGCTTATTACAAAAGTGTCCTTACAAAAGTGTCCTTTTGCATTTAACCCTTACAAAAGTGTCCATTTTACTAATTTATTTTAAGCTGAATTCTTATGGCTATATATGTATTAACTATCTGTAAACAGGTTTCTTGTTTGTTGGGATTGTCTTTGAGATTGAAATGGCCCTCATGTTTTATTGGTTTTTATTTAGCAACATCATTTAAAATTAGTTCTTTAATTTTCTGCGTTTAAAAAAAAAATCAATCACTGTAAGTAAATAAGTGAATTTGGAAAGCTTATATTTCATGAAATTTGTGAAAAGTATTTTGTCAAATTAATATCCTTCCTATAAAATTAATGACCTGTGGCAAATAGAAGTGCAAATTTGAAACATTCTTGCATTCTTGAAGTTTTTAGAAGATTTTAATCTTCCCTTATTTCATGAATGTGACTGCAACAATAAGACCGCTCTGCGGTTAACTGGACTTCTATGCATTTCTGGCAGTTTCCATGGTTTTCCAATCATTGCTTTACCCTCACTCCATTTATGCCACCAGTTAAAATTTATAGAGGAAGGATATGATTCAAGTTCCCTAATTATGGAAAGGACTTTGTGGCTTCATTTCCTTAGTACATTTTACTGAAGCCTTCTGTGGGACACTCTGATAGGCTTTGGGGAAGGATACAGTATGTACATTTGCTCTGAGGGAGTACCACATGTAATTTGATAATGTGCTGGAGCTTTCGCTGAAGGCTTCTTCAGAGTCAGATTGGTGCATGCCGATGTCTGTGGGTGGTAGGTTCTACTGTATCCTTCCTTTTATGAAGTTGCATTTCATCCATTTCTCTGTTTTCTTCTCTTTTGGTTTGGTTTTCCCAATGATCCTTTGGCGAAGAATCCAGCTTCAGGGAATAAAGCATTTGTTTATAATGATAAAAAGGGTACGGAGGGCCCAGGAAACTCGCATCTTCAGTGGCAGCTCAATCTCCTTACGCACATAGAAAACGTGCAGAATGAAGTCACCAGCAGAATGGACCTCATAGAAAAAGAAGTGGATGGTAATTTAGCAGAGTTAACGTGTAACTACTGTGATGTGCTTAGTGTTGTTATGAAGAACTGTTTAAAACTCGGTTATGGGTTGAAAACTACAGAAGCTCTCCATGCCTGTCCAGCTCCATCCCTTCCTTCACACTGTGTTTAGTACATCCAGGGGCTTGTAGCTTAACACAGGATGGCTGGGTATTACCCTTAGTAGTGTTTTGTTATTGTGTTCATTTTGTTTTGTTCTTAAAAAGAATGGCTATTTATTAAATACTGCCCACCTGTCAGGCTCTATAGAGCACTTAGGGAATATTCGTTAGTTTCATTGACATGTGTTCCTTTGGAAGTAAACATACAGCATTTTAAGCATGTATATTTCCACTTGGCTAGTATTAAGTGGAATTAAAACCAGCTCCTACAAGTTCAGTAAGTAAACCTTATGGTTGCATACAAATTTCAAATGGTTTTCTCTAAGTTTTTAAAAATTTTATCATAACATAGAAGCTCTGAAAAGTAGGCAGAAAAAATGCTATTTTGGATTTTAGAAACTAAAATAGGATTCCTAGATTTTCAGTCCAGCATGTTTCTTTTGCTTTGACTCCTTCCTCCTGACTTCATAGATCACACCTGCCTCCACCCTTTGTTTTCTCCCTATAAGGATCACACTGAATTAAATTGGAGCTCCTCTGTCTTTTCTTTCCCTTCAGAAGAGAGGAAGTGGATACCATTTGAGAAGCATCTTCCATTTGGTTTTAATTTAATTGTAGACTTAGTTTAATGTTCTCCAGAGATTTTTGAAGAAAAGGAAATGCAACTTGACAGAATTCCATATTTTAGGATAGATTTTTCAAAGGAAAAAGTAAACATTTAACATGTAATTGGTCAATTAAATTCTACCTAGAATTGAGTTCACTTGCATATTTTTTTATTGAGCTTTTAAAATGTCATACAATATTTGCCATTCATAGTGAAGCTGAAAAGGACACTGAAAAATTGATGCCTCTTTCCTTTGTTAAAGAGGAAGATGAGGACTTGGAAAATGGCTCAGTTGATGGAGCACTTGTTTTACAAGTGTGAGGACCTGAGTCTAGATCCCTAGAATCTATGTAAAAAAGTAAATAAAAAGCCTAGTATGATGGCATGCCACACCCTTAATCCCAGAAATGATGAGATGGGAGGCAGGTACAGTTAAATGCCTAGATCTTGCCAGTGAGCCCAGCGGCTTGGCCAAGTTTCAGGCCAGTGAGAAACCTTGTCGTAAAAGGTAAAACAGTGCTCACTTCGGCAGCACATATACTAAAATTGGAGTGATACAGAGTTTAGCATGGTCCCTGCGCAAGGATGACACGCAAATTCGTGAAGTGTTCCATATTTTTAGTTAAGAAGAAGAGGTGGAACCGTCCCAAAATGTCCCTTGCCCAGAAGAAACACCAGGTACCTCAAAAGAAGGCAAGTGTCCTCAGAGCTCGGGAACGGGCTGCTGAGAGCCAAAGCAATTTTCTATGAAGATTTTTTTTCACAAAGACAATAAACTTATTGGACCAGCAAAAAAAAAAAAGTAAAACAGTATCCAATTTTTCTTCTGATCTACACATACACATGCATGTGCTTGGGCAAACCAGTGCTCACATGCACCTGCATTTATGCACAAAGAGGAAAATGAAGTAGAAATGATCTGTATCCAAAATAGAAAGTTGAGTGGGCTTAGAAAACTGTTATATCCTATTCCAAAAGAGAGTAAAGGAGACTTTCAAAGTGAAATGTATGCACACACATATTTACAAATGTGTATGCGTGTATGCATATGAAAAAAATGGGGCTAGAAATATAGTTCACTAGTGGAATACCTGCCCTGAGTTCATTCCTCAGTGCAGCCTTGGGGGGAAAGTTCTAAAATAGCAGGTAAAGGTTACCCAGAAGGGCTAGACCCACTGTGGTTAGGATAGAGAGAATTCTAGCTCTCCCAGTGACTTAAGTGGTTGGCCTTGTCTCTGCCACCATTCCAGCCCTCTAATTATACCATCTTCTTCCTGCTCTTCCAGGTGCCATTTAAATTTATTTTTTCTCTCTTCTAGTTCTGGAAAGCTGGCTTGATTTCACAGGGGAGTTAGAGCCACCGGAACCCCTTGCAAGACTGCCCCAACTTAAACGCCACATAAAACAGCTCTTGCTTGACATGGGCAAAGTACAACAGATTGCAACTCTGTGCTCTGTATAACAACGGTGAACAATTGGTGGCAAGAATGTGGCTCTCTTCAGTCGAATCATTTTTTTATTGCTAAGTGGATAGTCAAGAAACTTAGTAATATTGGTCATTTGCTGATTTGTGATATCAGTAGTATGGCAGCTTGGAAGGAAAATGAACAACTTTATCAAGGAAGCCAACATTAAAAATGAATGCGCAAGCCCCAAATGATAGTGTTTTATATGCCAAGGATCAATGAGTAGAATATAATCTGTACTAAAGGAATCACATTGGTAGGATCTTTGAATAGTTGCTTATATGAAGAGCAAGATACCTGTAGAAAGAAATACGGTATGTTAATATAGGTTTTATTAGAAAGATCTGTGTTTAGAAACCAGCATTTGACCAAAACCAAAATGTAAAGGAAATTTAAGTTCTGGAAAATTCTACAAGTTTGCTCTAAAAATTGCCTTCTCAGCAGTTGGATGCAGCTGCAAAGAAATTTAGGTTATTTAAACTTAATTAGGATCATGAGCTGTTTCTTGGGTGATGAATGTATTTAATCCGAAAACTGATAAGAGAAGTCTCATGTTTAGGAAAAACAATTGTGGAATTCTAATTTCATTATGAATGTATTAAAAAAAAACCCAAATAATTAGAATTTATTTCAGGCATTGTGCTCTTTAAAAGCAAAGTGGCTTGCAGAAGGGTTTGATGTGCCAAATGTTGATACTGCTGAAGAGAGGATTTGAACACTGGGGGAGTCCTTCCACCCTATCACACATAATGCCATCAACCCATGAAAGTGCATCTGTCACATATGCCATGTGTGTTCTGTGTAGTTGAATGGCACTGTTCAGGCTTCAGCATACAGCTTGATCCTGGATATACTTGGTGTTTGCTTTTTGAAAAGAAAACAAAACTATAAACCTCAGCTGGGATGAGGAGTGACAAATTATCAAAATCATCTGTGGCTGTGGATTTCTTTTTAACTGCTAGTAGTGGAATACTGGAAAAGCTTCATTTGTGAAGATGAATTTTATTTTTAAAAGGTATACACGTACTCAAAATTTTTAGCTTTGATCACAAATGGACAGATTTGTGAAACCAAAGGCAACTAAGTTGCTGACTCAGCTCTTGCTGGAGATATACATATACATATATATATATATATATGTATGTATATATAATTTTTTTTTTTTAGCCTAGGTCCTACTGTCTGCCAGTCCTTGTGCAAGTTGTATGCACCCCAGTGCTACCTGTGCAGGTATGCACTTGTGAGTATGCTTGTTTAAGTGCTCAGCGTACATATGTACATAATCACATATTTATATCACATATCTAGTTTTATTACTATAGACTATACAAATTGGTGGTTAACATGAAATGTTACCTTTTAACAGACTGTTTTTAAAAATTAAAGATGTATGTACAGGTTTTGAAATTTTTTTAAAAAGGGGGAAAAAGACTGTTAAGAGGAGGCTATTTGATGACATTACACTTGAATATTTTATGCCTCATACTGCTTATCAGTTCTAGAAATCTGTATAAATGCATCTTAGAACTGATAGTGAACTTGAATTTATCTTTGATAAGAATACATGCCACTGTACATTCAGATATTATTTAAATTTGCAAACACACTGTTCTATATGTAAGGTACTGTATGTAAAACTCTTTATTAAAACTATTCCACATATCTAAAACTTCAGCTTGCCTTTTTGCGGCCTTATGTTTTGATGTGAAGATTAAAAATGTGCAAAATGGTGAGAAATTTTGTATTGCCTTTTGAGATTTTCCAACTTGACAAATGTGCCAAAGATCACCATACATAAAGTGTAGTCCTGTGTATTTACTTGTGATACCTAAACTTTGTCAAAGATCCTACTGATAAAAGCTTTAGCAGAGGTCATTGTGGGGGTAGTTGCTTAAATTTGCATATTAAAGTAAAAATTAGTGCCTATATTCCATGTGTAAATTTGCTAATGTCTGTGTTTCAAGACTGATATTATATTGTTGATTGGTGTTTTAAAATAATGACTGATATTTTCCCTGTCATGACTAAGCCCTAAATATTGAATTTACGTCTTCTTTTCAAAAATGGAGCAAGTAATGTCCTTGGCCTAAGAATAGTAGTGTTGCCTTGGTTCTTGTCATATACACAGATGACCTTTACCCTCAGTCATACTCATCATCTTGGTTCTGGTGAACATATTTAAAGGAATGTTCACTAGTTCTTACAGTTCAGACAGGAACTCTGGTACAAAAATCTGAAATGTTGCAGATATGGAGTGGGGATAGGACTCCACCAATGGAAAATTCCACACCTCACCTCGTATAGCAGAGTCATGGACAAAATGTAGGCTCTACACTTATTCTTACACTAAAAATACAATGTAAAATTATCTTCAGGCTGTATGTTTAAGTTGTACCTGGAACAACAATGAAGATCGTGTTTAGCATTGACTCTCGTGGCAAGAATGTGTCATTATAAAATGTAAAGATCCCAGTATCCCAGAAGATGCCAAATCTAAGACATTTTTCTTCTCAAGAATTTCCAGTAATGAATACTAGCCCTACATCTCAAAATTAGGTCACTTTATTAGCAGCCAGTAAATTGAGTGCTTTGTTAATGGATTGCTACATGTATTGCTCTACTTACATGTAGAGGAAAGAGAAAGCTGATTCTTAAATTTAGATTTTTAAAGAATTCACCAGATTATATGCACATATCCGTTTACTATAGAGCATATCATCAGTTGGTTGAAGATTGTGCACAGCTACAGGTTAGAACTTTTCTTTGAGAGAGCAAATTAATTTTGGAGAAGTAAATCCATTGTGAGAAGTGTCAGGTAAGATTTGTTTTTTCCTTTTAGTCATCTAAAGTCACTGTTTAAATGTAAGCAGTGGACTGGAGAAGATGTTTCCTTAAAAGATGATGTTTTATTTGCCATCCAGACAAAATGGAATGAGCCTGGGTGGAGGGATTCCTACTAGTATGTTACTGGTAAATATAATTTGTACTTCCTCTTGGTTGACTGTGGTTCTACTGACTTGTAAAATAATGTACTTTTTTCCTTAAAGGAACTTGGTTATTCTTAAACTTTCAGGTAAAGCCCCTGTTCATAACTGTTTGAATTCAGTGTTCATACTTCACATGTTCAAACTGAAGCATACTACTTCCTCCCTTAATAAACTGAATCTGCTGCCAATGTCACTGTCTCATTTAATATCCTTCCAGTCCACATTTAATGCAAGTGATGAAATGGCTACCTAACTTGGAAGATTGCTTGTAGAGTTAAAATGAAGCTTTTTAAATGAATTGGAAGTTTAGTGGACATGGAGTGTCATCTGTGTGCAAGCCATTAAGTTAACATAGTTGGGGTGGATAGAGAATAAGATCACAGTCTACTGGCTGGAAGCAGTCGCATTCTCCAGTGAGAGCCTAGGCCAAGGAGGCCAAATGAAAGGAGGCTAGTTAGACTCATAGGAAGTAGGCTGTGGGAACTAGATGATGTATATTCAGTAAAACTCTGGTCTTTGTTAAATGTGACTGGAATCTCTAGAGGAAATTTAAGAAATTGCAATTCATTACTAGTCCTATTGTCTTCAAGTACCCCTTAAAGTATAGACTTTAATCCCAGCACTCGGGAGGCAGAGGCAGGCGGATCTCTGAGTTCAAGGCCCGCCTGGTCTAAATAGTGAGTTCCGGGACAGCTGGAGTTACAGAGAGACCCTGTCTCAAAAAGACCAAAGGGGTGGGGGGAAAAGTATAGACTTCTAAGTATACTTAGTTTATCAGGAAGAAAATCTGGGCAAGTCAGTGTAAGTGAAGGGTGGGAGGAATGGAAGAGGGAAGGAGAAAGTAATGTGCAGATTAGGACACTGCCCTGGGTAAGAGGGCTTTGGTTCTGCCCTTTTTAAATCTTTCTAAATGCAAGGGATGTAATTTTCAATTTGTATATATTTACATTATATTCAATTAGTTACAACGTTTTAAAATGTATGCAATTGAATCTGAATACAGTTGGGCTATTTATGCTATTTTTTTTTTAAAGTACATGAGAACTTCGAGGTAACATGGCAGACTAGAATTGCTGTCATGTAACCTGGTGAAGAGTCAGAATAAGAAAAAGACTATCCCTTAAAGAGGAAGAACTTTAGAAATTCATAAAAGTGCTAGAGTAGTTGGAAAGTGCCAGCATGGGCTGCATACTGAAGTAAACTAAACAGAACGTAGCTTGGACAGTGTAGCCCTCACAAGTCTCAGATCTGTTTGCAGGCTTTGGTGAGAGTACTTGTTCTTGCAGCCTGGTCAACCATGGAGAGGAAGCCCATTTTGTCACAAAGGTCAGGATGGGTGCCATCCTGAGAGAACCTGTTTAAAACTGACCTAGCCTGGGTATCTGAGAAGAAGAAACAACTAGCCAGGGTCCCTGACACAGCAGAGTGAGGGACAGACTTAGGAGAGTTTTTGTAGAGTGCTGGCAAGCTGAGAATTCTAGGTGGCAGGAAACTACTCAAACAGCAAAATGTACAGGCTATAGTACCCCTGCCCTTGGTGGCTTGGAGCAGATCTGAGAATAACTCGAGGTTTATAACCCAGAGCATGAGGTCAGCAGGTAGACTAACCTCTGGAACCAACTGTGTTTACTGCTGTAGAATTTTCAAATTCTGAAGATCCAGAAAGTTGTCGGGATGGCAAGTGATCTAAGGGTACCAGACTCAGGTTTCTGCTTCCTGTGAAGATCCAACAGAACACTTACCCACATCCTCTTTCCAGCTGATTGACTAATACTTAGGGGCCTTGGAGAAGTACAAAGACAAGTCCTGTGCATATACATGTGTTAATGTTGTAGTGGTTTCCCCAACTCCAAGTATACTTGGAAGTTGTCCCCTGACTAGAACATTAGCCTCTCCAGGGGATATGACCTGGCAAGTTTCCAAAGAGTGGGAGAACCTGCCTACCACACTGACTGCACTGTGTGACCAGCAGAGGCTCCTGTTACACAAAGAAGGGAAGCTACTTAAGTGGGACAGTTCTGGTGGACATTAGATACTTACCTAGTACAGAATCAATACCAGTGTAAACCACAGGAAAGATGGGTCTACAAGCTCAACTGATCTTTTCTTACCTATGTATAAAACTGGCAGTCTCCGATTTCTGAGAACTCAGAAGCTGCTCAAACACTTCATCTTTTTTTTTTTCTTTCCTTTTGGCCCTTATGTCCCCTTCCCTCACCTGTTTTTTGTTTTGTTTACTATCCTTTTAATCACCTTTACTATGCTTTACTTAATTGTACTAAAAATAATAACCTTGGGGCTGGAGAGATGGCTCAGCGGTTAAGAGGACTGATTGCTCTTGCCAAGGATCTGTGTTCGGTTCCCAGCACCCACATGGAGGCTAACAACAATCTGTAACTCCAGCTCCAAGGGATCCAACACCATCTGGCCTCCCTAGACATTGCACACACGTGATGCATTTACATATTCGCAGGTAAAACATTCATATACATAAAAATAAAATTTAAAAATCAAAAAACTTCATGTTTCTATTTTTATGCCCTGTCATACATTCCTCTGGTTTTATTGTTGCATTTTTTTCATTATTGGGCAATCTTCCCTTTTTTTTTGTCCTGCTTATCCTGCCCCATTTTTCCTTCCTATTATACATTTAGTATTTTGACTATCTTATTAAAATAAGCTCTTCTGTTCTTATTTTTATTCACCCTTTCATATCTGTTTTCAAGCTTTCCCATTATTGGGACATCTTCATTTTATTTGATTCTTTTATTATTATTATTTCTTGTTCTTTCCCTTCCATAACATTCTTGTCTACTCCTTTATTCTTTTATTTAACCTCTTTCTGTCTTTCGGTGCCTCTTTGATTTATGCCATTCCTTTACTATTTCCACTTTCACCCAAAATTTTAGCTTCCTGCCACACCATTAGTTTTTCTATTTTTTTATTTTATGGTCATTTGTGATGTATTAGTGGGCTTTAGTTGATATTAAACAGTATCTTGTATGACTTGATGTTGCTATGTCAATAGTGTATTACTTTTCTGTTGCTGTGATAGAAACAACATGACCAAGGGAACTTATAAAAGGAACAGTTTATTTAGCTTATTGTTCCAAAGGGGCAAGAGTCCATCGTGGTGAGAAGGCATAGCGACAGAGGTGGCTGGAGCAGAAGCAGAAGCTAAGTAGAGGGTGACTGGAGATCCTGCAAGACTTGAGGAAATCTCTAAGCCCGCCCCTAGTGATATGCTTCCTCCAGCATGGCCACACTTTCTAAGACCTCCCAGAACAGTGCCTCCAAGTGGGAACAAAATGTTCAAATACAAAGCCGGGCGTGGTGGCACACACCTGTAGTCCCAGCACTTGGGATGCAGAAGCAGGCAGATCTCTCTAAGTTCAAGGCCAGCCTGGTCTACATAGTTCCAGGACAGCTCGGGCTACAGGGAGACCCTGTCTCAAAAAGACCGAAATAAATAAATAAACAAAAAGTTCAAATACTTGGAGCCTATGGGGGACCATTCTCATTCAAACCACCACAAATAGTTTGCTTTCTGTTGATGGTTCTTGAGCCCTCTGGAGTAGCTGCTCAGTAAGATCCTCAAATAAAAGTGGAAGTATCTACACCAGCAGATGCATGAATTAAAACAGAAGCACAGGAAAGAAACAAAGGGAAGGCAAGAGGACTCCTCCAGAAGACTGATTCAACTACTCAGATAATGAAATAGAATACCAGGTAAAGATTTCAAAAGTTTGCTATTTAAGTGACTAATGACCTCAAAAAGTTACAAATAAGAGTATTTGAATCCAGGACCTAGAGAAGAAAGCTGGCAACAGAGGAAAAAAGAAAGGCAGATGAGAAATGTAACAAAATGAAACATTAAAAAGGTAATAGAAGTGTTAGCAATGAAAAACTCAGTGAATCCAATAAAAAACTGGACAGCATCACCAGTGTACAGAAGAACAAGTATCAACCTATATAAAACAACATAAACCTATAGCCAACATGGATGGAGGACAATTCTGTATATATAACACATTCTGATTACTTTTAATCCTCACTCTCTCTTGCCTCTCAACCACTCTCTACCACCCCTCACCCCCCAGAATTGCTTTTCCCCCCATTCAGTCTTTTTGTGAGCCACTGAATTTAATAAAGGCCATCTGCATTATCATTTGTGTGGAGGGCTCACTAATGTGTACATAATTTAAGATAATAACTCACCTTCCCCCAGCATCTATCAATAGCTAATGGTTCCCTAAGGAGGAATGAGGCTCTATGAGCGCATCTGACATTCATGAATAACTGTTGTTAGGCCTGTTTTGTTCTGAAAGAGTTTTACAGTGAAAACTTTAAATTTACTTTGAAGAATTTGGATAAGACTCTAGAAGATGGAAATACCTCCAGTTCTTATGGATTGGAAGAATTAAAATGAATCATTTTACCAAAAGAAATCTACAGCTTCAATGAAGCCCCAGTAAGAATTACCATACCATACCATTCCTCACTATTAAAAATAATAAAAAAAACTTAAAACTATGTAAACCTATAGCCAACATTAAATGTGGAAAAAAAAAAAACAAAACCCAACCCATTTCCTCTAAAATCAAGAATGAGAAAAGGGTGCCAACTTTCTCTGCTATTCAATATGGTGCTCAAATTCTTAAAACAGTAAGACAATAGAAACCAGTATACAAATGGGAAAGGAAGAAGTAGGATTCCTATTTACCTATGAATGATCCTTTATTGAAAAGAGCCTAAGAGCCTATAGACTTCACCAGATACCTATTAGGTCTGATACACTTCCAGAAAAGTAGCAAGAAAAGAAATCAACATACAAAGCAGTAGCTTTTATATATGCCAGTAATGAACTTTTTGAAAAAAAAAATCAGAAAGCAAAATTCTATTCTCAATAGCTTCAAATTATAACTAGGAATAAATGATGACAGCAAGATGACTCAGTGGGTGACAGTGCTCACCACCAGACCTGACAACCTGAATTGCTCCCTGGGACTCACATGCTGGAAGGTGAAAACTGACTCCAAAGTTGTCCTCTGATTTCCATACACACATTGTGGCGTGTGCACAAATTAAATAAATGTAAAAATATACCTAGGAATAAACCAAACAAAGAGGAAAAGGACTTCTAGGTTGAGAATTTTAAGACATTAAAGGAGAAAATTGAACACTAGAC